GACATTTATACTTAGAATCAGAAAAAAGAATTAAAATTTCTTTGCGGAAAGACGGCTTGGAAAATTTTATACTCACAGGACATGTTGAAGTCAAGAGGGATAGAGGAAAACAGTGCATAACCTAACAAATGAGCTTGTGTAAATGGATAACAGAACAGGGATTAGAGGAGATAGCAAAAAGACAGAAATTTCTAAGAGTTACAAAGGATAGGAAGTTGTGGAGAACTCATCACTAAGGTCCTGAAGAAGTATATTAATGTGAATGATAAAAGATTTATAAAAAAAAAAAATAAAATAAAATATAAAAAAATCAATTGTAACACAAAATATGCCATGCTTTGCTTTTGGAAATTTCACCCCTACGCAAGCTTAAGTATGGATGACTAAAAGTAATAAAACAAAGTTTTATGATATTAGCTTTCCTTACTCACATGTGATGAAAGTTGTTTTTCTTTTGCCTCTATCTTGTCCCCTTTTCTTTTCATTTTACTCAACTATCTTTCCTCCTTTACACACTATATTTTTTCTTACAACGCAAACCGCATTTCCATTCACAAATGTTCTGAAGATGATGTGAATAAACATTGCAATATAAATAAAATCAATCAAATGTCTCATTGATAATTATTTAGTTTAATATGACATAAAGCTACAAATAAGTGTAGAGCACCCAACAAGAACTGAAGTTCAACAGTAATGGTTTGCAGAACTCTTTCATAAGATGACTTTGTGTCTAGTCTGTTAATCAAAACATTGATTACCTACACTTTTCTTTTTTAATCAAATCACACCAAGAAAGGCAGTAAAGCCACTAAGATGAAAGGAGTTACTGAGAGTGAAAGAAAATGAAAAAACATTAGTGAGAAAGGACAATAAAAGAACAAGTTCAAAAAGACAGAAGATGGTGTTTGACGTTGCATTTAAATTAAAATCATAGTTTACAGGAAAGTAAGAAATCAGAAGAGAGTTCCTAAAATAAAAAGTTCAAAGGCAGAAACTATTTGAATAAAACGTCCAGTTGCATTTAGCTATTTCAACAGTAAAATGAGGAAACTGATCTTCCACTAATACTACACTTAAATTCATGAAGTCAAGATATCGAAGAGGAAAACTCTTCAGAACAATTGCCATGAAAATATTTATAGAAAAGGCACAGGGAAGCTACATTATGGTGATGAAAGTGACTGAAGCTGAGATGCCAGGTTAGGAACAATAACATTGCCGATTCTTCTTTGTCAAGAATCTGGAAATATATAGCAGGAGCACTAGACCAGATTTGACAGCAATACTCACTGCATGGATGAATCAGTTAGTCATTTATGTGCCATGCGTGATACATGCTTAGGCGATCATGTATCTTTTGATACATGACTGACGAGGCAGATTTTTTCCCCACAGTAGTTTGCCATTTCTTTCTGCAGTAGACCAGTTGCCATCAAAGGTTATAGAACCAGGTCTGCCCTGCTATTTACCCATAGCAGGGAGGAGAAGAAGAGGATTCATACCTTTCCCAAGGGTATTAGCATGTAAGTGAATTTGAACTCGGTTCTCCGAGTCCTCAATCCGAGCGACTATCCATTACTCCAACAAGCCTCCTGGATGAATGGTAAACTTATAAACATGCAAACTTTTAAAGTTACTTTCATCCTGTATTGCACAACAGTTAAGTCTGATCAGCCAGTAAGATTCTTTGGTCATCTGAAAAATCAGTATTTAAATGCTACTTATAAACCCAAAATGCAGGAAAGAGTAAAACATATTGAAAATAACCTATGCAATGGTTTATCCTTAGTATAACGATGACAATAACAAAATATTTATGAGGTAATATTTTTTGGTATATTTGAGAATACAAAAATAAACAAATGACCATGAAGAGAGCAAGAGACAAAGACAGAGAGAGCAAGAGACAAAGACAGAGAGAGCAAGAGACAAAGACACAGAGAGCAAGAGACAAAGACAGAGAGAGCAAGAGACAAAGACAGAGAGAGCAAGAGACAAAGACAGAGAGAGCAAGAGACAAAGACAGAGAGAAAATGTTTTGAAATTATGTTTATGATATGATTTATATAATTTATGATAATGATATGATATAATGATTTATGATGCTATTTAAAAAGATAAACCTTTATATAAAAACATAAATCAAAGATGAATGAAGTAAATACAAAAATTATTTTCAAACTCAAAATAAATAGTAAAATAAAATTCACAAAAATCAACTGGGATACAACTAAATATTGAACAGGATTGATCGATTTGTTTTTATGGCTTATCAACCCTCTGTGATTTACTTAAAGCATATTTTGGATTGTAATAGTGATGCAATTTTGCAAGAAAATATTGCATAAAGAATTTTTGGAGAATAACTGATCTTATCCCAATACAACACATATCTAACCCATAGTTGGGGGGGGAGGAGATGGATTCATATCTTTACCAAGCGTATTTCTGAATGTAATCGAACTAACTGGAATTTGAACATGGCACTCTGATTTCTCATTTTGAGTCACTATCCATTACACCATCTGCACATCCTTATTGAAAAGGAAATACAAATCAATTGTGAAACTATTTAACAAAAAGTTGAATTTTTTTAAAATCATATATCCTTTCCAGCAAGTAATAAGATTTATTATAAATGTTAATAATAATAATGTTGCCCTTTTTTCTCTTTTTTTTCCTTTGTGATATTTTTAGGTTGTCATGGAGCCCTCATTCTTTTCCAATAGTTCAATAGCAGTTGCCCCTAATATCCAATATAAAATGATGAGGAGACCTTTCCAGGACAGTTTGTATAAGCCAGAGCAAGCTTGTATCAACAAACTTGACCAACCAACCCTCTAAGACTAATGAAGCTTTTCTCTTCCCAGTCTTCTTCCTGGTTGGCTGATGCCTTGTCATGTGACTTGCTATTATGCATTTTTGCACACCACCATTGATGCAAGTTCTAGAAAATAAGGATCAATATGTCTTTTTCAGAAAGAAAAAGAAAACAATTGAAGTAGAAGAGGAAAAATAAACAGGCAAATAAACCGAGAAAGAGAGATACAAAGAGAAATGTAGAACAGGCAATTTTATAAGTGGAAAGACAAAGAGGAAAAGAGATATTATAAAAAGGGTAATATAGAAATATAATGAAAAAATAACAAAATAGAGATATAAGAAATTAATAAAAGTAAATAAAAATGAAAAGAAGTGATATGGGAATAATATTGAATATATCAAAATAAAGGCATTCAAACAAAAAGTAAAGCAGAGATAAAAAAATGATTGACAAATATAGTGTGTTGAGAGTAAGATTAGAATAAAGACAGAATATGGGGTGTGGGTAAAGGAAACAATAACGAAGAAAGAAAAGAATTTGAGAAAAAGGCAAATATAAAGTGCTGAGAGTGAGAGAAAAGGTAAAGAACAGAGAATGAAAAAGAAATGAAACAATACAAAAGTAAAGAAAGTGACAGAATAAAAGAAAAGAAGGGAATAAAAACAGGAGAGATAGAGAAAGAAAATAGGAAAATATATGAGAGAGGGGGGGCAAGAGACAAAGAGAAAGAGAGAGAGGGAGAGCAAGAGACAGAGAGAAAGAGATAGAGGGAGGGAGAGCAAGAGACAAAGAGAAAGAGAGACAGAGGGAGAGAAAGAGACATAGAAGGAGAGCAAGAAACAAAGAAAAGCAGAGAGAGCAAGAGACAAAGAAAAGCAGAGAGAGGGAGAGAGCAAGAGACAAAGAATAGCAGAGAGGGGGAGAGAGCAAGAGACAAAGAAAAGCAGAGCGGGGGAGAGAGAGAGCAAGAGACATAGAAAAGGAGAGAGGGGGAGAGAGAGAGCAAGAGACAAAGAAAAGCAGAGAGTGGGGGTGAGAGCAAGATAGAGCAAGAGAAAAAGACAGAGCAAGAGAAAGATAGAGAGCAAGAGACAAAGACAGAGAGCAAGAGACAAAGACAGAGAGCAAGAGACAAAGACAGAGAGAGATAGCACAATGGATAAAGAGAAAGGCTGAGAGAGTGAGAGAGATAAAGAGAAAGGCAGAGAGAGATAAAGAGAAAGGCAGAGAGAGATAAAGAGAAAGGCAGAGAGAGATAAAGAGAAAGGCAGAGAGAGATAAAGAGAAAGGCAGAGAGAGATAAAGAGAAAGGCAGAGAGAGATAAAGAGAAAGGCAGAGAGAGATAAAGAGAAAGGCAGAGAGAGATAAAGAGAAAGGCAGAGAGAAATGTTGAGAGAGAGAGAGAGAGAGAGGGAGTGTGTGTGTGTGTGTGTGTGTGTGTGTGTAAGAGAGATATAGATTGTACAAGAAGAAGAGAGAGAGAGATTATTCTTTGTACATGTCTACAGTGACAAAGAAACTGAGGACTATTCAGGTTAGGCTGACTTGTCATTACATGATAATGAATGCGTAAGTGTGAACACATCTTTGAGTGCGCTCTGTACATATCTGTTGGTCTGTTTGAGGAGCTCACAATTTGATTAAAGTCACTGGCTCGTTGTGGGTTCATTGGTTGGGCTGAATTTTAATTGGGGAATTGATTGCTACACACAAGTTGTATGTGGAAGAAAAGTGTACAAAATGGTGAAAAGAGAGAAGACTTAGAGAAATTATATCTGACAGTCATCTGCATGCAAATAGAGATGAAATTGAGTGAATGAAAGAAAGTTGGTATGGAGGGGATTGTGGAAAAACAATTATTAAAGAAACTGAAAGAGGACTGTGAATGAGAAAACCTGGAGATGAAAATGGAAGGCAAAGGATAATAAAATGTGAAAGCAAAATTGAGGAATCAAAAGAGGAAGAAAACCAAAAAGGAAAGGAAAAAGAAAAGAAAAAAAAATAAGTGACAAAAGAAATGAAAGGAAGTAAAATGAAACAAATAAAAAAAAATTGAAAATAATGATAATCCAAAAAAAAAAAAAAAAAAAAAAAAGAGAGAGAATAAAGACAAGAGAAAAGGAAAAACAAGCAAAAACAGAGGAATGAATGATAAAAAGAAAAGAAATAAAGAAAGAAAAGAAATTAAGAAAGGAATATAAATAAGCATTGGAAAAAGACAATGAAGAAACAAAAAAGAAAAGAAAAAGGGACAAAAGTAAGCATTAAAAAAAAAGGACAAAATGCTAAAATAAACAAAGAAAGAAAAATAAAAAATAAAAAAAAAACAATGAACACTAAAGATTAAGAACACCGCCACTCCAAAAAAAAAAGTTATATTTTAATAAATTGCTTAACCCATTAACTGCAGCAGAAATTTCTGTCATTTGCAGTTGAGCCATAAAACTGAAATGATGGAAATTCCTGTCATCTGCAGTTTATGGGTTAAATCTGCTATTAAATCCGACCCACAACTCTTCACTTACATGTTGTTATTGAAATTGTGATTTAAAAATTCTCTAAGTTTTTTCCTTATAAATATATTTCATCCATTATTTTTTTTTTTTTTTAATTCATATATTTTTACAAAATTATCCAACTGATATTTTTAAAACTATGCAGAGCCAGTTACAGATATAATTTATTATAAAATACTGACATAAAACAATCAAATATATAGATTTGAAACTACTATGTTAAAGAAACAAGTCAATTTGTTATTAAAAATCTGAAGGAAACCACTAAGGCATTTAGTGATCATAGCTCTGGATATAAATTCAAGTCTGTTGTTTAATATTGACTAAATTAAAACTTATAACTATCCAGCAATCACAAAAGTAGATTTTTTTTTTTTTTTAGTCTATTTTATATTTTTGATCAAAGAAGAATCAGCAATATTATTGTCCTTGATCTGGTGACTTGGCTCCAGTCATTTTTCCACCACTCTAAGGTTGACTCTTTGTTTTTTTCTATAAATACTTTCATGGTAATTGTTCAGATGAGCACTTCACTATGGTACCTAGACTTTTTGAATTTAAATGCAGTACTCAACTGGCATAGAGATCTCTTCAATTTACAGTTGAGCTGGCTAGATGTAGCTTTAAATTCTATGCTAACAGTTTCTTTTCTCACACTTCTCACTTGTGGAACTCCCTTCTAGCTCCATGCTTTCCAGCCAACTTTAATCTGCAAAAATTTAAATGCAATGTCAATCACTCTCTACTGTCCTCCTGATTATTCTTTCCTCTTCCTGCTTATTATTAATGTTTCTGTTCCTAATTCTTCCAAACCCTGTAACCCCTTGTGTCTTATAGGCTTTACTTACTGCCTTGCATAGTGTGATACTGATTTAAAAAAAAAAAAAAAGAAGTTAAATTCAATTAATACAAATAATTTCACATAGTAAGAGTGATATGATGCTAGTATGGACACCTTGTCATCAAGTAATTGTTAGTAAGCTTGGTTTGCAAATCATTACTCGTGATAACGGTGTTTGACTGTCACTAGGTGCCCTCTTACTTGTGGCCCTGTGTATGAAGCTAAGCTAGCATCATACATTTATGGAGAAAAGATTAATGACATTTTATAGAAAGCAATTCAGACTAGAATAATTCACTGAAGTTCATGCACAAGGACAATAAAAAAGGGAAATGGGGGCATTTTGGAAGATTGTGTTGTGTCTCATAGAGAGTTTGCCTGCTTGTGTGAGACACCCAGTGAGAAACAAACCCAATACAGTAGTAATGATATGCTAGTCTAGTCGTAAAGGCATGAAATTTAGCCTTCCAAGTAGAGAGTTTGCCTGCTTGCCTTAAAAATCAACATTTGCAATCCTGACTTTTATTTTAGATCAAACACCAACAACTTGGATCAGGATGAAATATACAACTATCCAACCTAGCAAACTTAGCAAACTTAAATTATATATTTTCTAAGTGTGAGACACCTAGTGAGGAACAAATTCAATACAGTAGTAATAGTATGATAGTCTAGTTTGCTTACCATTGTCCCACAGCATGATATCCAGAGAAATTAAATTCCTTTTCATGCAGGGAAGATTTCAAATGAGTACCATGGAAACTGTTTGAAACTTTGAAATGATATTTAGCCAAAAACAGCATCATGTATTAACTGAATTCTGATCTGAAATTTTCACTGTATATGGTTGGATCTATGTGATAAATATTCACCATTGAATTAAGTGCAATGACATAGAAAACAGAGAGAAATAAAAGTGAGAGACAAAGCAAGAGAAATAAAGTGAGAGACAAAGAGAGGTAAAGCAAGAGAGACAAAGAGGTAAAAACAAGAGAAATAAAGTATTTTTTTTTTTTTTTTTTTAACAAAGAGAAAGAAATAAAGGAGAGAGAAAAAAAATATGAAGTTCTGAGAGACAAAGAGAAAGACAGAGAGAGGTATGGCGAGAGACAAAGAGAGACAAAGAAAAGACAATAAGAGAGGAGATATAAGGCAAGAGACAAAGAAGAAAGACAGAGAGTTTAAGGCAAGAGACAATAAAAGAAAGAGGGGTAAGAGACAGAGATTGGTAAGGCAAGAGACAATAAGAAAGACAGAGAGGGGGTCCTTCAAGAGACAATGAGAAAGACAGAGAGGGGTAAGGCAAGAGACAATAAGAAAGACAGAGAGGGGTAAGGCAAGAGACAATAAGAAAGACAGAGAGGGGTAAGGCAAGAGACAATAAGAAAGACAGAGAGGAGTAAAATGAGAAACAATGAGAAAGCCAGGATGAAGCGAGAGACAAAGAGAAAGACAGAGAAAGATAAAGTGAGAGACAAAGAGAGAGAGATAGAAAGATAAAGTAGTGAGAAGAGAGAGAGAGAGAGAGAGAGAGGAATAAAACAAGAGACAAAGAGCATTATGTTAGTGTTGGATATGTGATAAATATTCACCACTGAATTAAGTGCAATGACAAAGAAGGAGATTATGTTGAAAAATAAATATTTATTGTTTAAAATAAATCTTTTATCATTAGTCATTGTCTTTCTTTTATCATTAGACTAAATTAGCTATTACTTTACCTACATAGAGTTTATTTAACAATTAAAAAGAAACAACTTTATGTGCCTATGTAAAGGAAATTTTGTTAAAATCAAAGGATTTTTCTTTTTTAAATGTTCTACAAAAAAATTTAGTATCAAAATAAGGAAAGATTTAATATTTTTTTTATTGGCTTGGACAGCGTATTTAATAACACAGCAATTGAAATTTAAAACAGATTCATAGTGTCAAAGAAAATTTTTCCATTGCCCGTATCCATCTGATTTTAAAAAGAATGAATCAGTTTTCACATCGCTATCAGCAGTATATAAAAAAAAATTTTAAAAAAAAATCAATAATTTTTCACTAACAAGCCATCATCCTTTGAATTGAAATTATTTGCTTTCATTAACAAGATATCAAAAAAATTCACCCCCACAACATCACAAATGCATGAAATGTAGCCGGAGAAAATTTTGTATGTTATATGAAACCATGAATATTACACTCTGCTATGACTTAAATTAAGTTTCAATGATAGAATTTACTTTTAATGCTGATAGGCTTTTGACATACGTTTGCAACTTAGTAATGCATTTTGTCCATAAAAGCTGATAATTTCTTGTGGAAAGCCATCTCATTTGCAACAAGTTTAAAACTTTTGAAAGATGGTACATTACTGCAGACAAAAACAAAAAACATTACAATTCCAAAAGAAATTGTCTTGTTTTAAAAAAACCTATTGACAAAGAAAACTTATAAAAGCTGATTTTATAACCCTATATATAAATTTACAAATGCACATATTTACAGAAATATTTGTACTTTATTTATAAATGTTATTTTCTGTTTGCTTATAACATGAAAGGCTCAGGAAAAATATATTTTTAAATGAAATTGTCTGTGTGTATATACCGGGTCTAACAGCAAAAATGTCCAATTGTTAGATTAAGCTTTGAACCATTGTATCTTAGAAATGGATTAAAGATATCATTGGAATTTTCCAAGGTTTTTATAACACTATTTGACTCTACATTGAGCCATAAGAATGTATAATTACTGTCCAAGCTTATCAGAATTGTGATGAAATCGATCATAAATGAAAATGACATGTTTATCATTAATTAATCATAGCTAAGGATCAGAAGCTCTTGAAAGATTGAAAAAAATTTCAAATATATATGTATTATTCCAGGATCATTTTCCAACTTATTCAAGATGATCTTCACCCTCTCTAACATTCTAACTTTCTGTCCTAGAGTAACAAGGTGCCTCACAGATTTCACATAAGATTTCATTTTCAAGTCTTTTTTAACTGCTCTTTGAACTGTCATAGCTGAAATCCCTCACTCACATGCCAAACATCTTATGGATTGAGTTGGATTTTTTCTAATTAATCTCTTTAGCTCTAAGTTGAAATGATGATCCCTCTTCTTGTGACCTCCTGATCCAGTTTTTATTCTCTAGTGCTCCCTCTTTTTTAAACTTATTCAACATTCTCTTGATGGTTCTTGAATGGACTGTGAAGATGGAAGCCAGAGTATGAAT